TTACTTCTTCTTCTCTCTCTCTCTCTCTCTCTCTCTCTCTCTCTTCTCTCTCTCTCTCTCTCTCTCTCTCTCTCTCTTTCTCTCTCTTTTTGATCTGTCACGGATGATTTTTTAATAGTATTTTTGTCACGGTTGTATTTTTAATGATATATACGCGAAATTATGCACGGTCAGCAGGTAGGTAGTAAGATTTTACGACATGAAAATCACTTCCAGATGTTGGTCATTTGACGATACGGTGTGGTCTATTCGGAACAAGTTCTCACGACCAAATTATTATGCTACCACACGAAAATTCACAATTCGAAGTTTTTAGCTTTCAACTTTTTCTTATTTTAGAACTTATTTTTTAAAAATAATATTACGTGTTCTATAAATGATTAGCTTTACACGATCTGAAACATCAAGTAGAATAATATTTCAATTATAAATAAAAGATTTAATTTTAATCAAATATCTTAATAAAATAATTTTAACAAAATTAGTACAAATATTATTATTAGTATAATATTATTCAAATTACGTATATATAAAAAGTGATCGTTAAATGATCACTAATAATTTTGTCGATTGTCAAATATATCGACGGTTGAAAACTATTTTCCAAAATAATTATGCTCTAGTATCATTTTTATCATTTTCGTTATTATCGACTATATTATCTCTTAAAAATTTATTTACCAATGTATAAATACAGGCAAAATACAAGATAGATGAATAATTTAATGAAAGAATCTTCGATAATATTGCTTTTTGTTAGAATGCTTTGAAATTTCTTCTTACTTTCATTACCAAACAGCTCATGCTTTCGTTTATTTAAATACCAAACTTGTCGTCGAATCGAAATCGAATTTAATATTTACATTATTTATATTAAAGATTAAGATGTAATGTATTTATAAAAAAAAATGATAATGTATTCAACTGACATTTCGTAATTAACATTTACATCACTGATCGCGTTCTTACAGCAAATGTAGAGCAAATAATGGAAAAAGGACAGAGATAGGTTAAAAATTCGGAAATCAGCGCCATCTCTAGAGTGCCGTAGATGAAACTAATATAAACAAGAAAAGCAAATAGTAAGAAAAAGATAGAGATAATGTAAGAATTGATTATTAACGCCATCTCTTAAATATTTTTAGAAAGATTATTTTTTGAAAAGATATTTTTGACACTCAAGAGGTATTGAAGATCAATTCTTACCTTATTTCTATTCTTGTCTTTACTATTTACTCTCTTTATCTATATTGTTTTATTTGACATTTTAGAAATAGTATTAATTCAAAAATTTTTAATCTATTTCTGTTCTTTTCCCACTTTATAATTAAATTAATAAATAATTAAAAATATAAAATAATTTATTTTTTAATTTGTTTTTTAATTTTTATAATTATTAGATATTTTATTATTATAGATATTTATATGTAGTTACTTATAATTAATATTTCTAATCTTCTTTCTATATTTTATTATTTTTTAAATTTAATTTATTATTACCATTAATCGATTTTTTATCTATTTTCATATTTCTCTAATATTTAAATTAATCATTAATATTAATATTTTGTATTTAGCTTTTTTTTTTATTTTAGATTTACATCTCGATGTGTAGATATTTTTCTTTTGATGAGATCTGTTGGTCATTTTTATAGATTACACATTTTATAGATTCTTTCATTATGATTCTTTCATGAAAACTTTTTAAGGATTATTCTTTAAAAAATGATACCAAATCAAAAATTACGTAAAATCCAATTTAGATTCATCCAAATTTTTCATTCCTTTTGGTTATCTAAATGAGATTGCAGATATTATTTTATTAACACTTATCGTAAAACGTGAAATTGTTATGCGTTAGAATGTATGCATTTTAGAATCTTAATTTAAGTTTTAGTTTTAAGTATAATATAAGATAAATATTTATGAATTAAATAAAATGTAAATATGCTCTGCACAAAATTATATTCCTTAATTTAAGATGAACTATAATATGTACTTTCAATCTTTTCATTTCTTCGCTTTTCGAGAACCAAATTGTTCTTTTTTTTATCCTTCTTTTGAATTCTTTCTTCTTAAATTCTCATTTTTATGTCTAGATTGAATTTTATTAGAGAATTCCTTAATTATTATTTAAATTCCTTAATTAGAAATTATAAGATAGTTTAAATTTTTTGAATGACAATAAGAATCATAGATAACATAAAAATTAATTTTTTACATTTTATTTATTTTCAGTTTATGTTTATTTTTATATTATTTTTTTTTTCATTTTTTAATATTTGTTTAATTTTAATTTTAATCAATTTTTATTTTGAATTTTTTAATAATATTTCAGAATGTTTTAATTTGGCTATTTTTTGTGTTAAATTTATGTTAAACTAATTTTGATAAACAATTTTCATTATATTTTTAATAAAGGAACCTTCGTAAAATTTCGATGTTACAGGAATCGTCAATTAAAATGCATTGTATAATACTTTAATTTTCGCGCGGCTTAAGAAAATAAGGACCATATTATTTCAACCAATTAGAAAGCTCCTAGGCGAATCTGTAGTGTGCATGGTATTATTCTGCTCTCGAAAATTATCGTGACAGGACGCATCAGTTCGATTTGTGTAACTTTGATTATGCAGTAAGTAATTTTGCTTTTATTTTATTATCAAATTTATAGATTATTTTATTTATTTATTCAGTAATTCATTAAACATTATAATTACGGAATTCATAAATTTTTTAAGTTTTTTATATTTTTTCCTTCAATTATCTATTTGATTGAGGTTACCAAGCTTGTTTATAACTATTCTAATTAAAATTTCAATTTAATTATTGTTTTTATTTTAATATAATTTTAATTTAATTAAATATTTTTTTGTGGTTTTGATTTTTATTACAGATTATTGTTCGATTATGTCGAAATGACTTCGAAGGAATGCATACATCAGAAGAATTTACTACACATAGCCAATAATTTTTCTATTTTTCTGCAAACATGGTAAGATTTTATTTCTTTTCGCAAAAATAAATATATTCAGAATAGGTTTCTTTTGTCTTTTTATTCATATTATTATACAATGAATGTAATTAGATCATTAGAGCCAAAGAATCAATTTTTTTTCATCAAATTATATTATTTTAATAATATATTCTTCTTTTAAATGCGTCATCTATTATATTTATATATTCATCTCTCTTCCATTCGTCTATGTTATGTTTGAGAATGTAAACGTTTCTTATATTACAAGCATTCCAAGAAATTTATGCCCATGACTCGATTTGTTGTCAAACTTCCGAGCGTATCCCCTCCTTAATTCACGACTCAATAATCGAAATTCTGGTGCGACGTATCATTCTGCTATCGATATTAGTAGTGTTCAGACGCGTCATTTTTCTTTGAGGTGTGTGATTTATTTGTGCGTAATATTTGCTTATTTTTTTGTGTAATTCTTCATTGTGATAGGAATTCTTTGTCATTTATATACTATTATACAATTAATATCTTTATTATAATTGATTCATTTATTATTATAATCATTTAAAGGCTAAATTATTATTTTTTTCTTTATTCATCTATATGAAGGTTAAAATTACAAAGAGCTCGTATCATAAGTTTTTAAGAAAGAATTTGAGCTTGATTATTATTTTATTTTAACATAATTAATTTTATTGTACATTTTATACTTTTATTTTAAAGTTTTGATTTTCTTTTATTCAGATTATTAACCGATTATTGGAATGATATACAAGGCGGGAAAAATTTCAATATGGACGTCATCATACAGAAGTGGTAAAATTCAAAAATTTTTTATATTTCTATTCTTTTTCTTTATTGAATTATTAATAATACATATCATTATTAAATAATATATTATTAAATTCGAAAATATTATAGTTAAAAATAATGGAAAATAAAACTAATGAATTTCTTAATATGTATTAATACATATTAAGAAATTCATTAGTTTATAATATTGCCTTTATTTATGATTAGTAGTTTTATATAGCTTATATAATTATAGCTTTATTAGTAGTTATTTATATAACTTTACAAAATAGTAATATTTTTGGAACAAATGCTTAATAGGAAGAGGAAGAAAAATATCAAAAAAATATTTTACTTCTTTTCCTGCTTTCCCATTAATCTAGTTTTAATTTCAGAAAATGTGATCACGTGCAATGTGGTCTGTAGAGTCAGTGTTTGCTTCGTAGTATTTTTAATATTTTTTAGAGCATAATAGCTCTAATTAAATTTAATTATAATAATTATACGCGAAATTAGAATCAGTGTTTGTTCGCCGATTATACAATGTAAACGGACGCGTTAATAATTTCTTATTTTTATTTTTTATTTTAAATATTCGTTTTCGGTATAGAGTAAAATCAGTGCTTCTTTGAAGAATATAAAGCAATCATCCATCACGCGAAGAGGTAATTATTTTTACATATTTCCAATCATTTTATTTTATTTTTTGTATTATTAGAGCTTCTTATATTTGTAAGAAAAGAAATTGAACATTAATTTTTAATTTTTCTAGTGAAATGAAATTATTAGATTTTTAATTCTTAAATTTTAAATGTTTGTATTAGAATTTTAATTTTTATTATTATTAAAATTTATTAAATTCTTAATTCTTATTTTTGAAATTTTAAGTTTAATAAAATATCTATTGTATCTATTATTATTTTAAAATTTCTAAATAATCAAAGCTACATTTTGTAAAAAAAGAAATTACATGTAATATTTTATATTTTGTTAAAGATGCTGTCATCATCGTGTTATTCCCTGGATTTCTGAAAAAATTTTTGACCGCGCGCAATGCGGTTGGTAGAGTCAGTGATTGCTTCGTAATAGTATTTTTTTAGAGCACGATTGCTCTAATTTAATCTAATTATTTATATATATATATATATATATATATATATATATATATATATATATATATATATATATAGTCG